GGTATCCCATGCCTACTACAGACCAGGCTGCAGGTCTGATGGTGGAAACGTGCTCAGGAGTGGTTATGCTTCTATGTGCACTATGCCAAGTCACTGCCGGAGATTATGGGTTTTTATATTGGCACTGTCCATTTGCTTGAGATTATCGGTTTAACAAGTGCTGCCTTAAATTTGTTTATATAAAAACAATCCTTTGATCCACTAGCCAGATGCAAATACTATTTTGTGATAATGTTGAGGATTATGTAGTTGCAACATCTTGACATGTTTTTGTTTTTATGCAATTTAGAATATGAGGGGAGGAGACGTGGCCCTGAGAAGATTGCTAGGTACTTTCACACTTGCACACTAGCTAACTAAAATAAGTTTGATTTGCTCCAAAGGAGCTGACCTTCAGAGACAAAAATAAAAACTACTAATGCTGGGTGGAGTTGTTTGATTTGACCTGATTTTCTGGAAGCTTGTCTTCTAAAAAAAGCTAAAACTGTAAAGGAAACCATTTTACTTGCTTTTCATCCTTCCCAAGAAGTGCAGAAGGAAATACATGGCATTTCTGATTTTTCTGCTCCTTTGGGAGCCCACTGTTGAGCCTAAAATCTTCTTTAGATTTTGCCTGGTTAAGTGTTTGGTTTGGAGAGACCCTGGCTTGACTGAGCACACAATGCATGTGCAACGGTGTCCTGCTTATCCCCACGTGTTTGTAGAGCTTTTTGAGAAAGTTAAAGGCTGTTGCCTATATGAGACCTGCTTGCAGGTTCCTCTGCCATTCTGGTAACTGGAGCTTTTTTAGATCACTTCCCCCCTCGTGGCTTTGATGGCAGAGAAGCGACCTTCTGCAGCTAGCAGGGTGCCCACAGAGAAGAGCAGCTACTGTGGTTACTGCTCAGCATGTCGAGAGGGAGAGGAATGCCACAACAGCTTTAACCTATTCTTTTGCCCTAATTCCTGTGCCACTGAAGCAAATGTAGGATTTTCAATACACATGTCTTACCCCCCCCCCCCCCCCCCCCCCCATGAGCGAATATAGGGGACTGAATAAGATGAAGCTTCTCTGAAGGAATGCGTTTGTGCAGCTTCTAGACTACAAAGCACAATCAGCTCCATGGAAGGCTAAGCCAGAAACACAGCTGGGTTTGAGCTGTCCTCGTTTTCATCTACCATAGCATTTGGTAGGCTTGCTTAATATTTTGGTAGGGTTTTTTTTTTTTCTTTCATTTTAAGTTTGCAGAGCCCTTGGTAGGGGAGGGTGGGGTGTCCTGGCTTTTCTTTTTGATAGAAGACGGTTGGCTTGGATCACTTGCTACCTAGGAGATCAGTCTCTAAATGAAACTTTTGTACGGATGAAGTGTTTATTTTCTGAATAGCTGAAATGCACTGAATTGCCAGAAGCACCACTGAGTGGACTATATGCAGTGCAAAGCTGACCTCAAGTGCACACAAACTGCTCATTCCAAGTGCCACCAGACCAGTCTTACAGACGAACATTTTTTTGCAACCTGAAGCCAGTGCTGAAAGTATGCACACAGACTTGCAGACCAAATTTTGTAGTGTTTAGCCATGTTTGTGATCAAGTTGAGTCCTGTTTTTAATGTATGAATAATGGTGGTGGCATCAAGACCAGATTATGAAACGTTTTAACAGCTATATTGTCTGTGCAAGGTGTAATGGTCAGATTCGAAGGAAACTGAAAGCAACATGTGATCCATTTTGTCCAATTTAAAACAGAACTTGCACTCAAGTTTTCAATTACAGTTTAAATACTGAAGAAATGGGAGTGAGTGTGTGGGTTGTGTTAGTGGGGGTGGTTGTTTATTTTCCCCATGACCAAAAGATTTTTTTGACACGTTTAGCATGAGTGAAGATTAGAGGAGACTTGCAAAGCCTCTGTTACAGCATCATCATCAGCTACCTTCATTAAACCAGTGTTATGACACCCATTTGAGCAGGACTTAAGAAAACTTGTAGCTCTTGCACTTGAGCTAAGCTTCCTCGCTGTTAACTGGAAGGTTCAGCAGGACCTGCGTAGCTCCTCTACATGATTCCTCGGAGATCTTGTAAGACCATGTTACTCCATGAGATACCCAGCATACCTTTTGGCAACTGTGAAGCAGCGTTGTATAAACCATCCCATTACCCTGGTTTCTCCTTGCCTGAACTGATCAGTAAATTCAGTCACCGGCAGTAGTTCTCCCAGTTACTGGTTAAGACAGTTCTACTGTTACAGTAAATACCAGACCTTGTAAAGACTGACAGCAGGAGGAGCTGGTGTGTTTAACTGCTAAGAAACAGGTCCAGGGATTCCTGTAGTATTTTCAACTATTTGAAGAGCATGTAGGTGTATGTTTTTCTGTAAGCTGTCTGGCAAGTTCATGTTGAATTTTCATAAAACACCAGGATGAGCCACTGAAGTAACTGGAAAATCTTTCCTTTTGCTTTACTGAGGGTTGGATTAAGCCCTAAAGTGCTGTGTCTAAAGTACACTGGTAACGTAGCTTTGTTTTAAAACTGCTTGAGCTCAGGGAAGGGACAGCAGCAACTCCAGGTAACTGAATGTGTGTCTCTTTGGGAGTGATTTTATTTTATTTACTTACAGGATTTTTTTTAAGCCATTGCCCTGAGTGTTTCTTCACAATAAGCAGAACTGATGGCCTGAGGAGCTGAACTGCTGTTAGAGCTTGTGCTGCTTGTTACGCTTAACTAATACTACTCAGTATCGTTCTTGCAATGACTTGTCTTCACTATTTCACAACTGGAAAACGGGATAAATTCTTAGAAATTAAGCAGAGTTTATTTAAGAAGATACTAGAAAATATTTTAAGACTTGGTGCAAGGATGATATCTTCAATTTAGGTAAATGGCCTTGTAATATTCACCTGTCATGGTGGCGGTCGCCTACAGAAATATGTGCTGCTGGCTACCTGCACCAGTATTAATACCAGCACAATCCAGTTACTTTTGTAAGGACCATAGTCTGATCTCAAAGGCAGTAATTTAAAAGAAATAAAATTCCTCACGCAGTTTGTCCAAGCAATTGTAGTTATTGACCCTCAGCAGCCCAGTGTAGAGATTATGGGGTGAATATAGAATTTCACTAGCATATTTTGATGATTAGGAAGAGCTGTTTGAGTACTAGAACAAAAAGTGTGCTTTTTTAAAAAAAATTATATTGTTATGTTAATTAAATTCTTTAATTATTCCCAAAGATGGTTTCCAAGTAGCATTTTCAAAAACATTACACGCTTGGAGATAGCTACCTGTTAACAGATTGGCTTTCCTAAGGTGGCCCACTGAGTAGATGGCAAAGCCAAGTTTAGAGCTCAGTTCTTTGATTCCAAATAGCCTCAGCTATCATTAGGTCTTGTATTGCTGCCATGTTTTCCAAGTTTAGTGTGTAAATCCTGGTACCTGTTAAAATTTTGTCAGACAATGTCAGAACAAGATAGACTAAATCTCTTGGTGTTAAGTATCTTATATGCTATTTTTTTTGAATCGGTGGTCTTATACCCTGAACTACGCTTCTCTAAATCTCTCCCTGATACCTGCTTTAGCATTGTGCTGTCAGAGCTGAAATTGAGGTATTCTGATCTTTTTTTTTTATACTTTGTCTGCAAAAAAACTTGTCACGACTGAAGTGGACCAATATTTAAAAATTCTGGGGGATTAGTTTGTGCCTGTTGGCTCTTGTTCTGTCACCAGACTCCACTGAAAAGACTGTGTCTCAGGCTTCTTTATAGCATCCCTTTGGGTGCTTGTACACCTCTCTCCCCCCCCCCCCCCCCCCCTACCTCTTCCCCCACACCGCCTCATCTACACGTCTTTTAAATATTTGTCCCTTAATCATCTTAGTGGCCCTTCGCTGGCCTCTCTCCAGTACCTCCACCTCTCTCATACTGGGGAGCCCAACACAGGACCCAGCACTCCAGATGTGTCTCAAGAGTGCTGAAGACAGAGGGAGAGGATCGCCCCCCTCAACCTGCTGGCCGTGCTCTGCCTAATGCAGCCCAGGATGCTGTTGATCATCTTTGCTGCAAGGGCACACTGCTGGTTCATGTTCAACTTGTTGGCCATCAGGACCCCAAGGGTTTTTCCTGCAGGACCCCAAGGGCTTTTCCTGCAGGACCGCCTTCCAGCCAGTTGTCCCCCAGTGTATACTGGTGCCTGGGCTTTTTCCTCCTTTGGTGCAGGACTTTGCATTTCACCTTGGTGAACTTCATGAGATTCTTCTCTGCTCATCTCTCTGGCCTGCCCAGGTCCCTCTGGATGGCATCACGAGCCTCTGGTGTATCAGCCACTTCTCCCAGTTTTGTATCATCTGCAAACTTGCTGAAGGTGTGCTCTTCTCCATCATTTGGGTCATTAATGAAGATGTTAAACAGTATTGGACCCATTGTCAACTGCTGGGGACACCGCTAGTGACTGGCCTCCAGTTGGACTTTGTGCTAGCGATCACCACCCACTGAGCCTGGCTGTTCAGCCAGTTTTCCACCCACCTCACTGTGCAGTTATCTTCACCCATGCTTTGTCAGTTTGTCTAGGAGGATGTTATGGGAGATGGTGTTAAAAGCCTTATTAAAGTCAAGGTCAACAGCATCAATTGCTCTTGCCTCACATTCACCAGGCCTGTTGAAGTTTATCAGCTTGGCTAAGCATTATTTGCTTGAAGGAAATCCAGAATCACAGTGGTCTAGTGCTGGCCCTTAGGAAAGCTTAGTTGGAAATGATGGTACGAATAGATAAAAGAAGCTTCTAGTTGTTATGCCTTGAGTCTCCTTCATGGGACTAGATTTTCTGTGATTGAAAAGCTCTTTCTTCTGGGTTTTAAGTTGCACTAACTCAGTGCCGTGTGGGTACCTTAACTTATTTCAAAAATAATTCTGGGGGGAAAAAAAGCCCTTATCTGTGTTTGATAACATTACAGTGTTGTCCTTACAATGTTGTTTTTAAGTTTTGGATGAAGATTAACTTCATCCAATGCTAACGTTTCCTTTGATTTCTTGCAGATACTTCAGCTTCCGGGCCAACAGTAGTAGAAAATGGTGACCATGGAATAGAAGATCACCGCGCAGGTACGTGCTTAATGTCTGAAGGAAACATGTCGACTTCTTTTTGTTATTGGACCAGTAAAACCTCATTGTGACAAAATGCATCTTCTTTGAGTCGTATTTCTCCATGGAGGGTTGTTTTTAGTTCTTTTTAATGATCTTTTCAAAGAATTTGAAACAAAATAGAACTTCATTCTCTTTTGGGTTTGAAATTGCTTATTTGCATAAATAAAGCCTCGTTCTGAAGACATTGTATACTTTATCCATGGTCAGTGTTGGGAAGGCAACATCTAGGGCACTGATACCTAAATGGCTTTCCAGTGACTCCATAATATTCATAGCTGAACTCTACCCTAACCTGTGAGAATGACTTCTCCTGTTCCCCGTGAGACTGACAGTGACGTTTCTTCTCTGAGTACACCATCCTTTGATGCAGTTTTTTCACTCACTAATTCTTAGCTGCTACTGAAATTACACTGCTTTGTTTATTCTGCAGCTTCTCCTTCCACCCCAAACTACCCTTCTGTCAGTATCTCCTAATACTTGCTTTAGCAATGTCAAAGATGAAATTGAGGTCTTCTGAACCTTTTTTCATACAGCGTTAGGATAGCTTTGCAAGAAACTTGTCATTACTTAAGTGGACCAGTATTTCAAACTTGTGAGGCATTCTAGAAAATAATTGATCTTCCAAGCAGCCTAACATATGCTGAAGTTAGTCTTCTTTTAGCAGTTACATTTAATGATAAACACCAGTTCCCTTTCATGAGACTTTCTTACTGTGAATTGGGTTTCCTACCAAATTCCAACTGAACTGTTTAGGATGAGCAGTACCGAACTCTGCGACTGTGTGCATGAGCCAGTGGATTGTTTCCTTTTGCGGTGAGGAGGGTGCAGACTTCGACAGGCCATACTGTAGCACCTCTGTTTTCTTGAGGATAAAATATTCAAAAGTCAATTGTCATCCTGGCATTGGTAAGAGCTATTTATTTGGCCTCCCTCTTCATGATCTCCAGCTCAGCTTTAGCAGTACAGATAATTGCTAAGATTGTTTGGATGTTCCCAGCACTAGCATCCCTGCGAGTCTGTAGGTGTGGCCCCAAGAGAAAAAAATCCAGGAGATAATGATGAATGTATGGGAGTGGGAGACAGGGATGAATCAAAACACTTTTTTTGCTATAATTCTATTTAGTGTGAGCAAGTGTTCATGTTCTTATTGAGGATGGGAATATAAAAATTGATCTTTGTACTTAATTTGCCATTGTAAATCTGGTCAAAAGGAAGCTGTGCATCTTTTATAACTTAGTATAAAACTGAAATTAATAACACTTCTGAACCTTCCTAAGGATACTTCCTCTCTTTTTTTTATACATATAACTAAAAGGAAATAGAAATAAAATCAGATTTATAATATTCCAGGTGTGACTAATTAAATGCATTGGGATTTTGTAATTGAACTTCTGAATTGTGTTTAAAAAATTTCTTGGTATTTACTTAATACTAGCTTTCTGGAGGTTTAACTCTTCCCACACTAAATGCTAACATAACCTTGATCAAAGATACTTTTATCTGAAGCTTTTTAATTTATTAATATGTTCCATCTTTGTGGGATAGAGTTGGATTTTTTTTTTCTTGTTAAAGGCTGTGTAAAAGTGACTTCAAAGTGGTAGAAACAGCATGTCAAAGGATGAAGAGTCATAGGCATCGAGTTAATTAGGCTTTTCAGAATAACAGAAGATTTATACAACACAACTATTTCGTGGACTCTTTCCCACTACCCAGTTCTCTATGGAATACTTGAAATATCCATCCTTATACTTGACAGTAAGGGAGAAATGGTAATTTTTTATCAGATAATGGAGGGTTTTTTTAGAGTTGAAGAGCTGTTGATGCTCTGCAGAAATACAGGCAAGTTGTTCCAGACCAGGTGATGGACTTCAGTAGTGCCTGGTTCTACATTTAATAGGTGCTGTGCTGCCTAAAGCCTTTTGTCCCTGGCCCTAAGCCACTTTCAGTTTTTGGCTGGCTTATTTGTTTTCAGCTGGATCTATTCCCTAATCTGTCTCTTTTTAAAGCTGAAATGATTCTTCTGGATATGCAATGTGGGCCCAACGCAGAGGTGGGAAAGAGAGTAGCTGAGAGAGGGCTAAGGAAGGTGGTGCTGAAGGAAACCAGCTTTTTGTAGCAAAAAGCAGTGTTAAGAGCTACAGAGAGAGCTTTTTAGAGGCAGAGCTGTGTTTGAGTTGGGTTCTGAAACGGACTTCAGGGAAAGTATTGGGGAAGATGTAGTTAAGCTATTTGAAAATACGAATGTCTGCTTATCTCTCCGGTCTAGATCACAGGAAGCATTGCTACATGTTTTTTTCACCTATCAAATAAAACAGGGTGATGACTTGCTAATGTTTTATTGCATGCAACGTTATCTACAGACATCTGGTGTATGTGTATGCAGAGGTTGGAATTAGTCAGGACTGCAATCTTAGTGCTGGTTTGGCAGCCTGTGCTGCCTTCTGACCGGATGCCCTGCTCCGAAATACCATTAATGTAGTAGATGGCATAAATCCAAAACTAATGTAACTTGGGGGCAAAACCCTATATTAACTGTTGAATTATTTTTATTATAACAATGATGTATTTAAACCATTGGTGCAGGGATGTGTATAGTTCAGTATTTCAGAACGTGAAGGAAAAAGGTGAACAGTTGACTTTACGTCGGCTGTTTACTTGGGGGTCCAAACCTGTGGCCGTGAGGCTGAGAACCCTCTGCACCCGTTTGCTTTCCCTGAAAGGGAGAGACTGGCAGTTTCTCTGAAGGGTTCAGTTCTTGGCAGTGCTGAGCTGTATGTGGCGATTGCTTATTTAGTTTGTGGGCTTTTGTTTTTTTGAGAATTTGAGAGCTACAGACCGGGAGCTCTGGCTTGGGTCCTCAGCACATAGACTGAAACTCTCTCTATTAATTCTGTTCTTCCTTATAAGGAGAAATGGAAGAGCGGTTGGTGCAGCATTTGGAGGGAAGCTGTGCACATCTGGTGCAACTCAAATGAATCAGCGAGGGTGTGGGGAAATTGTTAATAGCTTATAATCACTGATGGCATGTAGGTATCGAGTTAGGGAACTAACTGCTGACTTTCATGATGCAAAGGTTAGGGAGTGCTTAGTAAAACTGTAACAGCAGGTTTAAAACAAAAAAATATATGCATAACTTTCGAACAGTGCAACGTTTGCAACTCCTTATTGCAGGATATTTGCCTCGAGTTCAAAGGAATTCTATATTTTTAAAAAAGACAAATTTCTGGAAAGAAATCTATCAAGGATGATCATATGGTTTAATCTGGATACCTCTTTTTCCAAGATCCTGTTCATTATCTTGCTGGAAGATGAGAAGTAACCTAGGGAAGTATTGCTATTCGGTGTTCATACTTTCCCTAGCTGGACTTTCTCTCCAACCAGCCTGCTTGTCGTTCTGTCATCTGAGATTTGGTCACAGAAATACACAGAAATACTTTGTCACTATTTTCAGTGCAAATTGTGCTTTTAAGCAGCATCCTGAGCTGCTGCCCTCTTGGTAGCAATTTGTCACTAATCTTGATTTATCACAGTTAATTTTTGCATGTGGCACAATGTCATGCCATAGCATGACTAGTGATATATTTGCAGACACCTCTAAAAGCAAAATTCCATGTGTCCCTAATCTGGCTTTTGGCAAATCTCCTGGCTGCACTAAATGAAATATTGCTTGTTGTGCAGTTGCTACCTGAATGTTCATGTTTACTAATGACTTGCGCTTTTTTGCCCCTTCCCCATCCCGTTTCCCTCTCCTACTTCTTTTCCTCTCTTCTATTTTCTCCTCCTAGAAGCCTAGACTGTCTCCTAACACTGGGGCTGCCACTGATACAAGATACCAGTGTACTTTTCTACCTGCCATTACACTTCTAAAATCTTCAGCATTTTACAGAGCTCTTGCTTTACATCTTTGGACTTTACGTGTAGAAGAAACCAAAGGGTAGCTGTGCTGTCGGCCGATCAGCCCTCCTCCTCCTCCCTCTCTGCTCTGCAGTGCTTGTTGAAACCTTCCTTTCTTTGTGTAAGCACAGACGTGCATGATGGTTTTTAACTGCACTATTTCAGCACTCCCACTGTTTTTAAATCACAACTACAGCTCCATTTTTAGTTCAACCACTTTTAAATTTAATTTATATCCTTTTTCATGGACGCTTAATAACAGAAGGTTTGATATTAAATTTAAAGTTGTGCTTTCATAGCGGATGGGTCCACCACGACTGCAGCTCCTTTCCCTTCTCCCTGTGCTCACCACAGCCTTTTAGAATAACGCTGAGTTTTACCTGCCTTTATCCTTGCTGCTTTGGAACCTTCTCATATGAGGTTTATCTTTAATCATGTTGTCTTCTTCAGAACAGGTGTTTTCACATCATAGCATTTATTATACAGACTTGAGAAACAAATTAGGAAAAACCATGTTTACTGAAGTACAAGCAGATTGTCTCTGGTTTGTGAGGAATGGATTATGGGGTTCAAGCACTTGCCAGCAACTGGGAGTATAAAGGAAACGACCAACCCCAAATTCCTGCCTCAGTAAGCTGTTTTGCTGTCGTACTGCTTCCTGCAAGCCTTGGAAGCAAGAAAGAAAATTGCCTTTCTTTAACTTCATACCTCTAGCTTCATTTTGGTAATGACAGCCTTGGATGAAATTTTACCTGCCATGAAAAATAACCTTTCCTTTCTAAAAGTGGGAGAAACAAAAGATCTAGGACTAAATTGTTAAATGTATACTGAAATAATTATGACAGTTTCCAGTGACACCAAAAGGAATGGGCCTGTTTTAACCTTAAACAGAGCTACAAGAGGTCAGCAAGTTTGTTGCAGTTCCTGCTGTCTCCGTAAAGGTGCAAAGCTTTCCAAACACAAAAGCATTACTTACTACCATGCAACAGATAAAACAAAATGCAAAAGAAGGAAATAATTTAGAGACTACTTAGTATTTCACATGAGACAAGCTTAGCCCAGGT